CCTCAACAGACAGTTATGTCACCAACACTACCGTCGTGGAACTGTGTAGTCCATTATCTCTGTTTCCTTATAAATGAACTCTGTCACCCACTTCAACCACCTCTCCTTGCAAGTTCACGGAAGAACTCTTTGACAATTTTCACAAAGTTTACATTAAAAAAAAATTTCAAGTGTCTACTGTAGTGTTTTTTTTTAAAGGAATTAAAACAAGTCTAAGTATGTTATAATATAAAGTTTACCTCTGATAACTTTTACTTACAGAGCAACAGCCATCATCGTCAGGAAAATCCAATCGAGAAAATTCTACAGATAAGTCCAAAAGTCACTCCGCTATCCCAAAACATCAATTTGAAAATGAGGCCTCCGATACAAGTTGTGTATTATACTATTTAGAGAGACACACAATATCCTCAGAACAACAGAGCAAAGTTGAGGTCGAGACCTGTATGATGGAAACATAATCCCACCTTCTACACGGGGGAGAACAAAAGTTCTAAATAATTAGTCACCACAATGGACGCCCCAACTCTCTATGTCATTAATCCTTTGTGAAGGTGTTTGTGTTTTTCTATTCTGTGATTGTTTCCCAATGATAAGGATATTTTTTAAGCTTATGTAATAAATACCCACAACTTTCATTTGAAATTTTTCACTTGGAAAAGTATAGAATTCTTTTTCTTTTTTCTAAACAGACAAATGAGCTTGGTATGTTGATTACATATAAAAAAATGCTTGCCTAAAAATACCTGTACCTTTTGTACAAACAATGACAAGCTGTTCAACAGTCAACAATACTCTACCAACTATATAACATAACAGTGTTTCATCATTTCTTTTTAGTTACCTGTTACAACTTAGGAAATTCAACAACAACTTATTGGTTTTAAAGTTTTAACTTCTCAATCAAATTTTAAAGAAAGAATTTAAAGAAAACTGAAGTAAGGCTTTTATGATTACCTTGTTTAAAATTTTGTAATAACGTAATGTTAAAGAAAATGTTTTGTTTTATTCTCCATAATTTTTCTTTTTCATTCTTCAATTATGAGAAAAAATAATTAAATTCTTTGCACAATTGGAACTTCACGGTACCAATATCTTGGAATTTAAAATTTTCATTTACGAAATGTATTCCAATCATCAAAGAAGCTCTCTCCCCTAAAATAAATGATTTCCTCACCCCCCCCCCNCTGAAGGAGCCAGCTGCCTTCCATGCTAGGGAGCTGAGACTATAGGGAGCTGAGACTATAGGGAGCTGAGACTAGGGAGCTGAGACAGAGTACAATGGAGGTCCTCTCTAAGCAGTATTAGTACCTCTTCACAACTGTGTATTATCATCTAAAGAGCTGATTCACTGTCGACTTCTACCTCGACAGACACTTCACCGAACCGCCTGGTCCAGTCACATTGTAGTTTGATAAATATGGAAAAGACTGGCCGGAGTCAAGTGCTCCCTTTGTGAAGCCGTCCAGAAACATGCTCAAAGGGGGTCTTTACCCAGACAAATATCTCCGCATGTGTTGCCCACTTTTTCGGTGATTTTTGAACATCTTAGTATGGTATTGTCTCTCCTACACCTAAGTATGTACAGTTGGTATTGTTCACCTTATCTATTTTGCTATGCCAGTTTCCCTTGCTATACATAGTAATACCCATTTACCATCTATCAAACTCATAGCTAAGCTTTGTAACGTATCTTCTCAAATAAACTGGATTTTTTTTAACAAGCTAGTACGTCTTAAGAATTTAAAAAACTTTTTGAAACCCGCATCTCTGTCGACATATAGCCTCACACATGAGCCTACGGTAGTTTAGCGATCAATGGCGAAGTTTGATACCTACATTCTGACCCACATGTTCCTGTGAGAACTGGGCAGAGTGGTAACATCAAAAAGTCACATTACGTTAGACATTGTATCCTCCAGACACCCCAAGCCGCTTCCACTACCTTTATATTGATTTACAGCCACCAAGATGGCGCTCATTAAAAGGCACCATCGACCAAAATACCTGACATTAAACTTATTAAATAAACATTTTATTGAATTTTCAAGTCCTCTCCCTATTGGATTTCCTATTATTTGATACTTCGCTGAGTCTATATTGCTGTTGGCGAATACAAAAATTACATTCAAGGTTATTTTCCTCTTATAGATATTTCTTTTTATAAGCTGGACCAACGAAAGCATTACTTGACTTTACCATACAATAACTGTTTTCTTTACAATTTTTATATTTCCACTAATTCATCTTCCTTATTTATCTTCATAAAAATGTGAACATTCCTCCAGATATACACATATCAACACTTACTTCTGGTCAATTCTGTTTATAAGTCTCTATCTATATACATTTGTACTTCTGGTCAATTCTGTTTATAAGTCTCTATCTCTATTCATTTGTATACTTCTGGTCAATTCTGTTTATAAGTCTCTATCTATATGCATTTGTACTTCTGGTCAATTCTGTTTATAAGTCTCTATCTATATACATTTGTTCTTCTGGTCAATTCTGTTTATAAGTCTCTATCTCTATACATTTGTATACTTCTGGTCAATTCTGTTTACAAGTCTCTATCGCTATACATTTGTATACTTCTGGTCAATTCTGTTTATAAGTCTCTATCTCTATACATTTGTATACTTCTGGTCAATTCTGTTTACAAGTCTCTATTGCTATACATGTGTTTACTATGTATGCTATTACATGATTTTCGGTCCCTCTACGACCTTATATCATTGAGATAAAATGTACTGTATTATGAACCTATTACATGATTTTCGATCCCTCTACGACCTTATATCACTGAGATAAAATGTACTGTATTATGAGGAGAACCTGCTACATGATTTTCGGTCCCTCTACGACCTTATATCACTGAGATAAAATGTACTGTATTATGAACCTGCTACATGGCTGATGCTGTTAATCATATTGTTTATCAATAACATTTCTTGAAATTGAATCGGTTTTCTTACCCGTATACAAATGATATTTCTCACATTTATGACTACTCAAGAAGTACCTTTACACAGTCAGCGAGTTAATCTGCTGTATTTCACACCTGTGTACCAAACCTGAAACGAACACCTCAATTACTACATTACCTGTCCCCTCTTGATTCCATCCTGCTCCGATCTACCCCGACTTTCTTGGTGAACTTGCTATCTTTAGTAACGAAATGACTTTTTCCACAAGCCAGAAAAGTGTATTTTTTTTTTTTCAATGACCACAATTAGTGGACAATACTACGTAGATAGTCCAAAAGCCAGATATTGTGTATGTGGGTAGTGACAGACGAGATGGACCCTGCTTTGTCCCTAGTAAGTCACTGCATTCATTGATATTATCCCCAATGTAAATGTTATTGTGCTGGTGCGAGGCGCTGGGCAGTGTTTGTGCTGGGTATTTGTTGGGGGGTGTATTACTCGGGCCTGTGGACTATATTTATTGGGAGCTAATCTAATTGACAGTGTAGGTTTCTGTGTAAGAACAAACCTAATCCAATCAAAAATTACTTACTCATTCTGCCAACTACATACAGGAATTCTACGAGGCGCGCGAGACCCAATGTCAACATTTACCAAGGTGAGGCCCAGGAACACCATGTTACCACTTTGCGGAATTTGCCAAAGACAATTTCGCCCACTTGGACCAAAGGAACAAGTGGATAGTTTTAAATCTAAAAGGCAAACTAACGATCGTGTGACCTGATTGTGGAATATTTGTCATAGCTATATATAGTAAACCTATCTGAGGAGGGGCGATTAATGGAAATAGCTTATAACATATGCATACACTTTCATAAAGGTAAACACTTCAGTAGATTGTTATACAGAATTAAGTTGGATGGTGCACAATTTTTTCGTCTCATATGTGAAATTGATATATCATATCTTGTACAGAATAATATAACTAAGTAATTCTTTACAATTAAAACAGGTTTTCTCATACACACATCTAGAATATACACAAGGTCATTATATAAGGATATGTAGGAAGGAGAGATGTGATGAACAGCTATCTTGCTGCGCTGCCCATGGAAACTAGCTCAAATCAAGGGTCAAAGAGGTATTGACCACAAAATGGGAAAGAGGTTGTGATCACAACAGGAGACAGAGGTCATGATCACAACATGGAAGACATGACTTAGAGAAGAGAGATCATCAAGACAGGAGACAAACCATGAAAGCAGGGAAAGACGTCATGAAAGTTCGAGAGATAACATTAAACAGGAGATAAATGATAAAAAGAAGTTAGAAGAAGAATTTGCCTGGGTGAGGAAAAACCTCAGTGAGGGTTTCTCTCCATGTATCTCGGTCTAAATCAATTTCCATCTATCACTCAGAGATCAATGAGCGCCAAGTGTTTCTATAGCCATATTGACTGATTAATAATTCACAAACTTCTCAATAAAATGTCATCACGTCACCTTTCAATGACAGGTCCTCATAAACTGCACAGGCACGGAATGTCAATGGTATTGAGAATGTTTGTGTGTGTACCTCACCACCCCTGATAAAAAGGGTTAAACTTTCTCAGCGAACCAGGACGCCCAACTTGTAATCATTGCACATGGACGGCTACTGTTTATCGTTGATCGGTAGAAAGTGATCGTCAGACACTACAACACATTCTTAACTACTGATTTAGTTTGATTTATCGACGGCACAGTGCCCCAACCCAGAGTTTAAACTCACAGCCAAAGATAACAGGCTGACAAAATCATACCTATTATTATCTTTCCATGATTTGAAAAATGTTATACAGGAGATAGGATAAAAAACATTGTCAGAAATATCAAACATTAGAGATAAAAACTAAATATGATAGTAGTCCTAATGTTCAAGATTAATATCAGTTCGACTAAATACATGCCATGGTCAATACTGGTTAGGTCATACCTAAACACAGCAGCATGAATTATTAATTTGACACGCTTTGTTAACGCATGTGGCACAAGAATACACTACCCTATGTAATAAACAGTTCCATACACTTACCGTTTCTATTCTCACCAGCCATAGTGAAATGTCCAAAACACTCCATCGTAAACTATAACACACTTCACTGCAGCCATTTTGTTACCATAGAAACACATCAACAGTGTACCTGAGATGCTTTTTAAGTACCAGGTGAGTTTTATATTTCACTCCAGGTAAGTAGTCTGGGCCAGATAAAGTACAACTCCGTTAGAGGTTTCTCAGCACCACCACCACTACTTTATTAAGCCAGGCAGTAATCCTTTGTATCGCTGTATTAGGAAGTCCAGGTTAAAACTTGTTGCTCTATCAAATACATACTTCTTCATTACCAAATTTCCAACAATTGTTCAAGAGTAAAAAGGTCAACATTATCTTTAAAAAGCTATTTCTGTTTAGCAATTTCACATTTCTTTAACAATTAACTAAGTATTCCGTTAACTTTGTCAGAAAGCTGCCATTCCGGAGGCGGGCTTCGCACACATTTGTGACGACAGTGGTATTGATGTGTGGAGGTATTTCGACTCCTCCCTCCCAGGCTAGCGAGGCCTGACATGTATTGTCCAGGCGGACTACCTACTAGTTAATTCACACAACTGCCGATACAGAAGGAGAAAAGTGTTGCCTAATCTTCGTTACTCTTTGTAGGAACAGAGAACAATCTCTTTGTTGTAGAGGTAAAAATATGTAAAATATTTTATAAAACAAATTTTGTTTGAATAGTATAAGAGTGTCTATTTACTATTATTTGTTTCACCGTGTTCTGTTTTATTTACTGGTAGCTAGTTCAAACTTTGGAATCATGAAGTGTCAGCTATCTTAAGTTGACTTATCTTCGTACCTACAGGTAGTGATGACATGGTATTTGTCACTGTTAAAAGACTCGATCAATGCACTTCATCAAATGTCTAGAGAAATTAGTGTTTACTTACTACAATAAACACAGCTACTGGGGTTGGCCTTTCTTCATTGAAAATTCAAAAGTTGGGTAGCATGCTGAGATGATTGTTAGACAGAGCCCTCAGCCCAGTCTGTTGTATGTAGCCCAGTAGGAAACTACATATATAGTTATTCTCCAAATTGTAAAAAAGTAACACACCGTTAAACATACCTTCTATAGTCAGTTTAAATATATTTGTTTTATAAGTAAAGAGAAACCAACTTTTACAACTTATACCAAACTTTCTCCACAGGAAGTACAGAATGTACTAACGTATATAAACTTTGGTCTATTTCAGCAACGAGGCGGACGGTGGAAAACGTCCTTCTTCCTCGACACAGGGCCGTCTGGTATCATCACAATCTCATAGACGTCAATAGAGTGAAAACAAACCAAAATTATACAATAAAGAACATTGTTCACCATTGGTAATAAAATTATCAGGACAGTAATTGAAATATACATCAGTTAGACTAAAGTGTGAGAAATGGGAGTGATTATAAGTATATAAGTCTGTCAGTCATGGGAGAATGCTCTCAGATGTATAGTATGAATGGCTGATAATGCAATGACAAATTTATATACAAACTATGACCTCATGTTTATACAGTAAATAAAGTTGATTATATTTATTTGAATCTGTTCCCAGTGTAATGCATGTAAACTTTCTACAATGTATATAGACTATATACAATGCATGTAGATCAATACAATGTATGTAGATTTATCACATAATGTATGTAGACTTTATACAATGTATATAGATAAATACAATGTATGTAGATCAATACAATGTATGTAGATTAATACAATGTTTATACAATGTATGTAGATTTATCACATAATGTATGCAAAACTTTATACAATGTATGTAGATCAATACAATGTATGTAGATCAATACAATGTATGTAGATCAATACAATGTATGTAGATTAATACAATGTTTATACAATGTATGTAGATTTATCACATAATGTATGCAAAACTTTATACAATGTATGTAGATCAATACAATGTATGTAGATCAATACAATGTATGTAGATCAATACAATGTATGTAGATTAATACAATGTTTATACAATGTATGTAGATTTATCACATAATGTATGCAAAACTTTATACAATGTATGTAGATCAATACAATGTATGTAGATCAATACAATGTATGTAGATCAATACAATGTATGTAGATTAATACAATGTTTATACAATGTATGTAGATTTATCACATAATGTATGTAAAACTTTAAACTATATATGTAGATCAATACAATGTATGTAGATCAATACAATGTATGTAGACTTACTTGTTATCCAGTGAATATACCCATGTCATATTTTTTTGTGTATTAGCCCATGTAATATGACCTATCAGCCCTGTGATTGGTTGCAAGTTTCAATTGTTTCAATTGTGACGTCACCCCTAGGACAAGCACATGACGTCACTGACTTACGCAGTGCACGTGTCAAAATGGTGTCTTTTTACATTTCAAGGTTGCATGAAAGTTGTTGTTTCACACGAATAAAGGCCACAAATCTTGATTATGTGATAAAAAGGATCTTACACTTGTTTTCATTCCATATGAAATTTATGAAACTCGTCACAAAATTTTCATTTTAGCTTGCCAGAGGCTCGCTAAATTGAAAAATTCTTAGACTCGTTTCATAAATCTCATATGAAATGGAAACTCATGTAAGATCCTATATCTATACAATGTTTGTAGGTTTATACAATGTACATACATTTTTTACAGTGTATATCAATTCATATGATGTATAAAGATTTATACAATGTATGTAGACTTTATACAAAGCACATAATACTTTATACATCAAGACTTTAAACCATTACCATTTGGTTATCGTTGATTCAGGGTTTACGGTTCTTTGATGCTCATTTGAATGAAAAGACAATATTTCATAGAGTTTGTCTTTGATCAATTATCATCCTGGAACCTTTGTCAAATGTCCCAAGTCTCCAGACCCTCAGCCCTAACCCCTAGTGTGCCCTCACACCTAAACATAAGGCCCTTTCTTGTCACCACAAAAGGTCATGCTGACTACCCAAGGTCAATTCACACTCAGGCCATTGGTCAGCAAATGGTCATTAGCACTGATGACCGGCAGCCTTTTATACCTGCATTAGCAGAGCTGTTGGTTGGATTTGTCATTGTCCGGTCCTTGGATTGTAAGGTAGCACTTGTATGGTAGGTGTTCGTGGTCCCTATTGGAGGTGATTTGTAACAGTGACATACTCATCCCTCAGTGTCCAGTCCCCCTCCACCCATTCCATTCTCTGGTCCACCAACAGTCGCCATTTTGTCACCTTTCTCTTTACAAATTTTACCATTAATTAATCTCCTGGTAGCATTCTGTCCAATCTTACTTCAAAAGTTTGTAACTTAAAAGCCGGCTGTTCCAAAGAGTAACATTCCTGGAGACCACAGTTACATCAGTGAGTGATTGGTGGTAGCACAGGCTGGAAATATTGGACATCTAAACAAGAGGCCCATGGGCCTTAACGGTCACCTGAGTCTACAGTATTTTTTGTTGTTGTTGAAATATGTACCAATTTGAGTAAAAAATAGTAAAATGTTAACTTAACTTTGTCAGGACCATGAGCTGATCATTCCTAGACCAATTTTAAGTGAGATCGGCCTATTAGAATTTAGTAGCAAAATAGCGGCCATGGCAGCCAAATTGTATTTCTGATTGACCCGAAAAATAACAACACTTTGTCAGGACCATGAGCTGATCATTCCTACAAAGTTTCAGTTCAATCGGCCTAGCAGAACTTGACTTTAAGTTTGAAATA